AGCTACCCTTCAGGGAGACTTACCACCTCCTTCAGTGTATATTGCTTGGTATTTGTTGCTGAGTAAAATGCTGCAGTATTTTTGCTATACAGATGCAATACAATGCTGCATTGCACAGCTTTTGCTGACAGGGAGGACCTAGTCTTTTGCTCTTTTTCAAAAAACACCACTAGCACCCAATGTTATGTCTCATATACTTCTTTATTTTTCTGAACAATGTGTCTAATAACAAAGTTTTATGTTTTTTTTTTCTTTCTTTGTTAATGTGAAAGCTTGAAAATATATTACTTAAAACTACGCTAGCATAATTTTCTTCATCGTTGGGACTCGTTGCTGGGGGCTGGGTTCTCGCTTCTCCCTTCTCTCAGAGGCTGGAAGTGCCCTCCTTCTCGTGGGACCAGAACTATCCCTACAGGATGGGAGTGCCTGGGTTCCCAAGAGAAAAGTGAGTTGGGAACATAAACCCAGCATCTCCAAAGCTGCCTTGCACTGCCGCCACTCCTGGAATGGGGAAACCACAGCCTCCGCGGCACCCATGGCAGCCGCGGTAGCCACGGTAGCCGAAGTGCCGTCCGCGGGAGCCACAGTCGCGGCTCCGCTGGGACTCGAGGCCTGCGACTTCTTCAGATCGAGAAGTTTCCTCCTACGAGACATTCTTCTGTCAGCATCCTTTCAAAGGTTGGGCTGCACCAAGGAGTGGGCAGCAAGACGCAGATGGCTGGCTGGAGGCAGGGATGCAGCGGGATGCTGGACATTTCCTGTCTGCCTGCCAGCACATTCCTCAGCCTGGGGCACTAGGACTTTCCCTGCCATGATGTGCTCCAGCATGGCAGCTCCTCTGCTGGGCACCCTCCAGCCAGGAGCCACAAGGAAAGGCCATGCCAGGGGAGGGGGCATGGGGCTGGGCAGAGGGCAGATCTTCCTCTCCTCTCTCCTGCCGCTGGACCCTCTGCAGCCCTCTCTGCTCTACCCCTCTGTTAGATGTCAGCTTGTTACCCCTGTACAGAGAAGAACAGGAAGTCATGGACTCCACCCAGGCCCTTGACAGCCCCAAAGAGATAACTGCAGCCAGTTGGATGGCAGCTGTGCCAGCATCTGCTGAGAGGGGCTCTGCTGGCTGGGCAGAGCTGCTGCTCCCGCAGGGCACTGCACCACAGGGCTCCAGTCTTGCTGGCCATGTTTCCCCCCACTCATACTCCCCTTTGTCTCTCTTTCCCCTGGCTGCCAGAATGTGGGCCACAAGGTCACCTTTCTTCAGAAAATCATGGATCTGTGCATACACACCACAGTCCGTGGCTCATCACAGCGCTTGGTCCACTTCTGCTGCAGATATGAGATTGTAGAGAAGATCCAGGTGAGGGGACACTCGGAGCTCTGGGAAAAGGGGCAAGGCCTCCTGGCACTGGCACCCTGTGAGGGCAGCGCTTGGGCAGGGCTGGGGTCTGGTGGCACCCTGGGTGCTGGCAGCTGCTGGGTCCCAGCTCAGTCATGCTCTGCAGATGCTGCTGGACTCCCAGTCCCGTAAGAAGATGCACACTGAAGGATTGAGGGACACACTCATCACTCCTAGGGAGCCCTTCCCCAGAGGACTGCATCCCCCTGCACAAGACCTCAAGGTGCTTCCCCCAGCACCATTGTCCAGTTGGGCCCTTTCTCTTTGCAGCCCAGCTCCACTGTGATGACATCAAGTTCTCATTCCTCAAACATCTGCTGGCACATATTCTCCTTTTGCAATCCTCAGAAATGAGACCTATAGCAAAGAAGGCTATTCATCACCTCAGTGAATTCATCTGTAAGCAAAAAATTAAGGGACATTGTGGTGGCCTTCATCCCTCTGCACACAGACATCACCTCACAGCTCTGTTTCTCTGCTTGACCACCTTTGCCCCTCTGGCTGCTTCCCGTAGCATCCCAGCCCTCTTTCGCTGTAGAAGCTGAGTGCTCCCCTCATGTCTTGGATCTGTTCTCTGCTGCTCTTCTTCCCTGCTCCTTTCACCATCTTCAATACTGCCAGTTTGTGGACCCCAATCTGACACCCTCCACAGTCTCCTGTCCTGCCATCTTGCAAGCAGATCTCAGGGTGGTTTGGAAAGCCCAATGGCAAAGCTGCTCTGTCTTACTGACTTCCCTGTCTGCCCCACTCTATAGGCAGGACAAGACTAAGAGGTAAACAATGTGCACGCCATGCAGAAGGTGAAATCAGCTGCTTGCTGCCGACTTCCAAAAAGTACCATACCAAGGTAATGAGTTCCCTGGTCCTCTGCAGGGCCAGCACCGCATGACCATGAGCCTAGCCCTCCTCCCTCAGCCTAAGGACCCTCTGCTCTCATCCTCCCCCACACAGTGACTGTGGGCACTGCTGGGCACCTCTGGCCCGGGCTGCTCTCAATGCCCAGCTAAGCAGCACCATCAGAGTGCTTGGTGTGACATCTTTGCTCTCTTTCTTCCTGCCACAGTCCTTTGAAAGGTACCTCATGTGCTCTGAGAGGACACACATCATCCTTGCAGCCATGGAGCAGATGAAAAAAACTGCACAGGCCTCTGGAATACTACAAAACACTTTTTGTGGGTGGCCACATATAACCCACACCTCTTGCTAAAAGATGTATGTGGCCTGTGGCTGGATTGCCCTTCAGCCCTTTAAAGCCTTGTTCCTCCCTCCATCCCTCCCTCCCAAACCCAGGTGCCTCAGGTACCCGAAGGCACCTTAAGGCAGCAGAGAGGTATGGAAAGGGCAGCTGAGGCTGCACTCCAGTGGCAGCACTATCCTCACCTGTGTCCCCTCCAGGTGCCAAAGATTGTGAGCTTCATGCATGAAAGCCTGCAAAGCATCAAGGAAGGACCAAAGCAGCGCTGCTTTGACTCTCTGCTTCTCCTGGTAGCTCAGTTTTTCCCCAGGAAGATAGTCACAACACTGTTGAGCATTGCTCCACAAGGAGACAGGTACTGGCCCTGAAAACCCTGAGGGCTTGTTCGCTGTGGAGAGAGGGACCCTGAGACTCTCTGGCTCCCAGACCCAAGGAATGCTGCAGGACACCCCTAAGGAGCGGGGTTCTCCATCCCACCAGGCTTTCCAGCCCTGGTGAGTTGTCCGGGCCCACAGCAGCCAAAGCTGGCTGAGCCAGCCCAGAGCCACCATGCTGCTCCCAGCCCCATGGGGAACACCACCTCAGTCCCCCTCCTGCCTGCCCAGGCAGGGTCCCCAGGCACCCCAAGCCATGTGGGGCTGGCCCAGGCCATGCTGTGGTCAAGGCAGCCCTGCTGACAGTGCTCTGCCTTGCAGTAGCCATGCAACTGTAGCACAGATCTTCTCTGAGCCCAAGATGACACGCAGGATACTATGAGAATTCTCTGTCTTGCTCTGGGTTGACTGGTCCCCCAGTAGTCCCAGCTCTTCTTCTTCAGAAAGCAGCTCCACCTCTGACCTGGCTGTGAGTTATCAGAAAAGCACCTGACCCCCTGCCACGAGCCCTGCAGACTCTGCCAGTATCTTACTACTGTGCTTGCTTCTATGGCCATTCCCCAGTGACAGTAGCATGCAGTTTCAGCTGGATGATTTGGATGATGATTTGGATGATGACTTCAACAGTGATGAGGAGCTTCCAACACTGCCAGCCTCCCAGGTGCTCGAAGGCCTCCTCATGCTGTCAGACACACCTGCTCTGGTAAGCAGGGTGGCATCAGGGACAGCCATGTTGGCATCTAGGGGTCTGGGGCTGGGGGTAAGGCAGTGGTTTGGTGTGGGCTGGGAGTCAAGTGGTGGGGTGACTGCTCCAAACACCCTTGCTGCCATGTTGGGGCTTGGTGGCTGCCTGGGGAGCTTTCCAGGCATGGATCTTATCACAAAAAAGAAACTCTGTCTGTCATACAAACAGGAAAAACAGAGCTCCTCATGCCAAACATAATGGAGCTCCTGTGGCTTGGCACTGAAGATCTCAAGGAAAAGGTCACGATGATCTTTAAAGTTGTGATACATCAAAAGAAAAGGCCAGCCCTACTGATGAGAATCTGGTGGAGAACCTCCCGTGCTTCTTTGACATGGTAAGGCTGATGTGGGAGTGTGGGACTTGAGATGGGCACTGCGCAATGACAGCTGCCCTGCAGCCCAGCCCTGTGAGGAGCACTCAGAGCAGGCTCTACTTCCCTGGGCTCTTGTGGCTTCTGGGCCTTGCAGCCCAGTGCTACTTCTCCCTGCTCTGGAATCTGACTGTCGGCATCTCCCTCAGCCAGGATCACAACCCCCCTTCACTGTGGGCAAGTGGCCAGTGTTTCTGAAGTTCACCTTTCCTCCTTCCTGCCAGGAGAGCAGTGAGATCCGAGAGTTCTCAATCTGCCTCTTCAGGGACCACGTGGGGTCAGCGGTGGTGAGGAACAAGAAGAGATGGAAGAACTGTATATGGAGTGCACTGGTCCCGCTGCTCTTTCCCATGAGCAGCCAGCCCCCCAGGGTGGCCAAGATACAGATTTCAAGGCTGAGCACTGTCACAGAGAGGGGTGGGCTGACCCTCCCCGTGGGGCCCAGGCAGCAGGGCAAGGGCTGCTGGCAGTGGGCAGCCCTTCCCCAGCACAACCTGTGGGAAAGGTCCCCACAGAACCAGTGTGAGCAGGGATGGAGAAGTTGGCACGGCCATTTCCAACACCTGCCCTATGGCTCCAGTAGGTCTTGTCAGCAGCCTGTGACCACCAAAGCCTGAACAGGCACATCCCCACAGGCTTCCCTGCTGTCCCTGATATGTGGCTTCTGGGCCACCTCGAGAGCCAGGGCTGAGAGCCTCAGTCACTGTCCTTCGGGGCTGTTCCCAAGAGACACCCAGATGCTTTGTCAAGGGCATGCCCCAGCTTCCTAAGGGCAGGATCACCTCAGGGACAAAGCCAAGAGGTCTCCTTTGCCAGCCATGGTGCTATCTCACAGCTTCTGATGCTATGCAGGCTGCCAAAGAAGGACTCGTTGCTGCTGCAGAGCTCCTGAGGTGGAGGGAGCTCAAAGACGTGGTGCAGGCACAACAGACATGGAGGATTGGCGAGTGCTTGGTAAGGAAAAGTGCCAGGGAGCAGGCTGGGTGAGGGTTGTCCTGCACCCAAAGCCCGGGGTGTGGGCTCTGCAGCTGGGCCTTACCTGCCCTGCTGCAGCCCAGAGCCCACAGCCTGGAGCTGCACCCCAGTTTATGTCCTCCAAGAACAGAGCCCCAAGGGCTCATCTCCAGGCCCCTCTCCCTTCCCTGCACCCAGTGGGAGAGAGGGCTCTCGGCAACAGTGAGTGCTGGCAGGAGGGACTGCTGCAGCCAACTGGGGGCTCTGTGACATGTCCAAGTCCTTGTGCTCTCTCCAGCTAGGGAAGGACAGGAGCAGGGCTGAAGAGTGCCTTTGTCAGGACCTGATGTACCTCAAGGACCCTGAGGCCACTCTGTAAGAGGCGGCCATCAGGTTCATTGGTGAGCCCCTGTCCCTGGGTCCCTCTTTGGACAACCTGGCCCCCATCCCTGCTCCTGCACTGACAGGGAGGTGCAGCCCTGGGGCTACCTGAGCCCCAGCTGCTGCATGCTGGGCCTCAGCCTCCCTCTGCCACCTCTGTCCACACAGAGCTACTGGTGGTTCCTGGGGTCATCCCTGCTGAGGGGGAGGAGGGCAGGGCCAGGGGCTGTGCTGCTGGGAGCACACTGGGGAACAGGGGCTGACAGAGCTTTTGTGCCTAGGGGTGGCCATACAGCACCTGAGGGACCAAAGCATGCCTATGTGGATGAGATCTGCAGCAGTGAGTGGGGAACATGGGCTGGAGGGGATGTCTGGGGGCCTCTGCAGACACAGGGGTTCATCTCAGCTCTGTTTCTTTGGTCACAGCCCTTCAGCCCTTGCAGGCAGACAGCAATGAAATCGTCTCTTGCCTGGCAACTCAGACCATCTTGATCCTGGTGGCTTAAAATGACAGCTAAAACCTTGATTCAGTCTTCAAGCACTGCTCTTCTGGTGCTGACTTTGACATTGATGAGGAGCCTGCAACACCCCCAGCCTCCCAAGTGCTGTCAGACACATCTGCCCTGGTGAGCAGGGTGGCATCAGGGACAGCCATGTTGGCATCCAGGGGTCTGGGGCTGGGGGTAAGGTGGTGGTTTGGTGTGGGCTGGGAGTCAAGTGGTGGGGTGACTGCTCCAAACACCCTTGCTGCCATGTTGGGGCTTGGTGGCTGCCTGGGGAGCTTTCCAGGCATGGATCTTATCACAAAAAAGAAACTGTCTTTCATACAGGCCAGAAAAATGGAGTCCTGATGACTTCAAATCTTCAGCAAAAACCAAGATTCAAGCTACGAGCACCGGTCTTCTGGCCACTGAGCCAGCTGGGGGATGGCTGTGATTTAATAAATCTGGAACAATAGGTCCAAACCCATGGTGTCCTTCAGATGCACAGCATCCTGAGCAGACTGCATCCTGCTTGGCCTGTACCACTGCCTGCAGGACAACTTCCCCTCAGCACACCCACAGGCCTAGGCTTTTTTGAGAAGCTGACGCCTTGCTGAGGCTTTTCCCAGGAGAAGCCTCATTTGTCTCACCTCAGGGCAGAACCCCCACCACGCAGCGAGGACAGGGCACAGAAAGAGTGGCCCCAGCTCTGCCTCCCCATGGGTGTCCAGGCGTCCAACAATGTGTCTGCTGTTGCTGCATCACCACCTCCCCTCACCATAATGGTTTTAGAAGGGTTTCCAAGCAGAGTACTGTGGTGTTAAGGGGGCCAGAGGGAAACCTCAGGGGTTCTAGAGAGACTGGAGGACAAACAGGGAGTCTCGGTCACCACCACCACGTCAGAGGATGGGCCTCTGCTGCCATGTTGCTGCTGACAGGGGCGGCTGTTCCGACCCACTGGTCAGGGGCATGATGTTCATTATAAATCCTTGTCAGGCTGAATAAAGATACTGGACATGTGTCTGGGAACTTATTGTACAGTCGCCATAACTCTGGCAACCAGCCCACTATTTAGACTGAAAAGGTGTTGGCCAATAAGCCCTTAAATTCTTACAGCACACTTCCACAAGAGCAATGGCTAACAAGTCCTTAATTTTGTACAGTACACATCAATAAGTTCTCAACTCCCAAAACAAACTCTTCAAAGGTGCTGGCACACAAGCCACCACACCACTACTCAAAGGTGCTGGCTAACAAACCGCAACACGCCAATATTCAGTTGTTCCCCCCCAGAGAGGGAAAACCTGGGACATGCAGGGCTTAGGTGCATGTCAATGGGAAGTACTAGGCTTAGGCAATTACCTGTGTTGCAATTATTTTTTAAATCAGACTCAAAGATCACTAACAAAAAGTGTAATAGTTCAGTAACCTACTGTGAGACTAAAAAGAATAAAAAAAATCTGAGAGACTGGAGGATTTCTGTAACTGAATAAGCTTAGGAAAAAAAAGAACCATTACCTCTCATCCATTCCTTTATTGTTTTTACAGTGTGCCTAATAATAAAGTTTTGGGGTTTGGTTTTGGGTTTTTTATTTGTTTGTTTGTTTTTAAATAAGGTAAGCTTGAAAATACATAAAAACACATTAGCATAATTTTCTTCATGAATTATTTTTGTGCTTGCCTATCTAAGTTTTGCCCATTTTCTAAAAATAATGTCCTTAATGCTTCTTAAATTGTATTTGAAGGAAGGAATTGAGTTACAATTTTCCCCAGTGTTTAGGAAATGTAAATCTGGTCAGGAATGTGATTAACCGAGATCAGCTGGCAGCAAGACTAGACATTCCTGTCTACAGGAGAAGGTTACACAGAGTATTTTATGAACACAGAGGAAGAGCTCCTGATTTGGAAAGTTGCTGAGATGTATTGGTTCTTTGAGTTTGTGAAATTAACAGGCAAGTTCAAAATCTTAATGTGAACTTTGCTTCTGATCCAATATCTTTAATGATCTTTTATTTATATACAGACATACAGATGAAGATTGAATTGAACAAAATCCCAATACCTAAAAAATGCAAAAGGTTTCAGCTAAAATGTGATTTAAGGTTGCTTGGTCTGTGATGTGGTAATTTTAACTGCCTGCTTTTTTCATCTAGTGGTTTGTCACTTGGCAAACACACCCAGAAATCTCAATGAAAATCCTTTTAAATTACAGTATATACAAATGAGTGCAGGTTAAACTCAATCACTGGCATTCATTTAATGACATAAATTAACAGAATAGTTGAAGTTGGAAGGGATTTCTGGAGATCATCTGGTCCAACCACCCAACTCAAGCAGTGTTGCTTACAGCAGGCTGCCCAGGACCATGTTCAGGTTTTTGAGTGTCTCCAAGGATAGAGAGTCTACAAGCTCTCTGGTCACCCTCGCAATGAGAACTGCTTCCTGCTGTTCAGAGGGAACCTCCCAAGTTTCTCTTTGTGCCCATTGCCTCTGCTTTTGTCATTGGGCACCACTGGAAAGGGCCTGGCTCTGTCCTCTTTGCACCCTCCATTCAAGTATTTATATACATTGATGAGATCCCCCTGTGAGCGTTCTCTTCTCCTGGCTGAACGGTCCCAGGCCACTCAGCATCTCCTCATATGTGAAATGCTCCACTCCCTCCATCATCTTAGTGGTTCTTTATGAAACTCTCTACAGTACCTCCATGTCTCTCTTGTGTTGAAGAGCCCAGGGCTGGACACTAGAGGCACTAGACATAATAACTTTCAGCGATTTATGAGATAAAACATGATGTAAAAATATTTGATAATACATTTTTAAAAATAAATTTTAATATGATTTCAGTGGAAACTAGACTTATGTGAATGACAGCCCTTTCTCTAGATGGCTGTAGGAACACAGCAATTCCTGCATGTTATTTCTTCTGGTGTGCCTTATCTCATACTTTAGCAACACTGAATTATAAAAACTTGGGTGCCCTCTGGTCTAGAAATGACCCCTGAAAGTTCCAAAAATCTCTCTAATACTTATTGCTCTAAAAAATCTTGTGTCATGTGGACATATGGCCTCATCAATGTTTATCCCTGTCTTTTGCAAAATCAGTCTTCTTCTATGGACTTTGGGATTCCTTTCTGCTGTTTCATTAATCCCTTTACTTGGCAGGTTTCTTAACTGAAGCTCTCTTTTGCCTCTTATTGGAGAGTCACTTACTTTAATGTCCTTCTGAGGTGTAAGAAAGGTGGCCTTGTTTTCTTCTTGAAAGATAGGGAGGGAGAAAGGAGTTGTCTCTTGTTGGAGGCACCAGTTCATTGAACCAATTCCAGTTTTAATTTTGAATAAAGATACTATGGAGCTTGGAGATGTGTTTAAAATTATGTACATGGTTAAGTACATGGTTCTTGCTTTGAGCATGAATGAATACAGATCAACACAGCGATGAAAACAGGCAACTTTAATGATACAGTGGTTCTCTGAAATAATTTTCTTTAGAAGTGGAACAAAACTTACTAACAAATTACTGCCGTCACAGTTGCTTAAAATTCTGAAATGGCAGTGACTTAATCAACCTCCCCGTTACCTTGACATGTCAGAAAGTCATGAGGTTTGTTACAACTTTAGGCAGTGACTTTCTGTCTCCCAGTTTTTGTTCCAGGCTGACAGTGTTTTTGACCCTGTAACCATTTGGTAACAGCTTACTCTCTTAGGCTGGAAGTCCTAAAAGTCAACAGTTTACAGCTCTCTGTAGCAGTTATTTGATTTCTGCAGTCTCTTCTAAAGATTGATAACAGATACTTCTTTATTTGACATGTATGTCATAATAAGAGACACATACATGTTCATGTATATTTTATATGTGTACATATATGTACATATATATATATGCTTTTGTAATACATGAGAGCAACTGCTTACCAAAGTAGGCCACCCAAGTTATCAGTGCGTAGTAATTTGCACTATGTCTCAGATGTGTGTGTCACCTCAATAACTTCTGAGGTACAGTTTTGCCTTGCAGATTATCATCCTGTCTGGGTATTCTCCCTTGGGACATGAAAATATTTCCATTTCATTTCCATTAGTTTTAAATGGGGTGTTTGGTAGAAGGCTATTTAAATCAGGCTCTTAAACTCAGTACTTGGCATTGATGTGGGAACTGCTGAAATGAAAGCTGGAAGGAGCCAATCTAAAGTGAGTGGAAGGGGTTCCAGTGAAGTGGCTATGGGGGAAAGTGGGTCTGAATTAAATTTTAGTTTATTTCTTAATTACCTAGAGAGTGAGGAGTTAAACAGAAAATCAATACTGAGGTAGTGGTACTGGAATCACTTCTTAGAGGAGACAACACATTGTTGAAGCATTTTTGTTTCATGGATCACACAGTTGCTCATCTGCAGTCTCTGACCATGGTTCCCAGTGATAGCAGTTCTTGAACAGTCCCACTAGCTTCCGCCAGATTGATCAAAAAACAACCTGAATATTTCCAGGTGCAAATCTCAACGAGTCTGTTCACATGCTGATAGTTTGTCAGCTATTCTGTACGTTGTTATACCATTGCCAGAGTGTCTAGGAAATCAAGACTTATTGCTGTTATCTAGCTTCCACTGGAGTGGAAGGACAAGGGTCTGTCCTGCATAGGTGACTGTGCAGGCAGGTCCACCTTTAATGATAGGTGATTATAGAACAGTAGGATGAGTTATTTGTATATTTTTTTTCACTTCATTTTAGTTTTTCTAGCTGGAAGTCAGAAGAATAAACACATTTGCCATTTCTTCACATGCAAAATATGCTATATGTTTGTTCTTTTCAGTCACATAAGGTGTCTGATGGTACTGTCACACCATAAACATTAGCTTAATAAATAAAGAGGACCAGCTTGCTATATGACATGGAAATAGATGCTCATAAAAATGAAAGATCAGTCCAAAATTAGATAGCCTAAATACACTTCAGGAAATCTTTTTTTGTAAGATTCTGTCACTAGGATAAATTATTTAAAAGCCACATTGTCTTCCTCATTTAA